GCTTTGGGGCTCCTCAATGATATTATTGGTGGAAATGACTTGGGTTAGATCGCTTAGGCAATCAGGGGCAGAGAGAGCAGATCCAAGAGTGTCTGGTACTTCCCTGTTTCTCAATTTCTCTTCACTGGCAACATCTTGAAGGTGGAAATTGAGGTTTATTATCCAAGGAACTTCATTGAAGTGATTTTTAACCTTTAGTCTCCCTTTTTAATTTTTTAGAGGTATGTTGCCAACACCAGAGCTGAAGAATGGCAAAAATCAATGAACAGAGATCTAGTTCTGGTGCAATAGCTTATTTTTTTCAATGGAGAACGCAGTTTTATATCTGTGTTAACAGCAAATACCAGTTTAAGCTAGATGTCAGGGAGATGGCACCTGTATCCCGACATTCGCACATGTGAGAGGAAGGAGCTTTTGAGTTTGTGTTTTTTTTAGATGTTTCTTTGTATCAACGGGCAAGTGGAAGATTATAAAGGAAGGCTTCTGATTCGCTAAAAGATTTTAGGTATTGCACCTCGGTTTTTGAGTGGTAAATTGTTAAAGAGCACTGACCCACCCCCTGGATCCAATCTTTCTCCCCACCCTCGTTGTTTATTCCCATCCTTGCTTCTTTTTGACCTTGCTTTTTGTTTTGTTTGTAGCTTTGCTTTTCTGGAATCAAATGCTCGCTTACGTGTAATAAATCAAGCTAAGGACTTTTCAAATTTATTGACCTTTGTTTCTCTTGGTATTTTATCTTTTCTTGCCTCTTCTTTCCTGATCCATATGCCTTAATTCGTGACAGTCCAATCACCACTCAGACCTCCTGTTTGAAACCATGCTCGTCTAAAGTTGCTTCCTTTTAATCTTCCTCAACTTCTCCTTTCCTTTTGTGTTCATCCATTTAGCTTGACATACCCCAAACTATACACACCCATGCGAACCAGGCTCTGGGTTCCTCTGTTCTGTCAATTGGTTATCATGGATACCTCCCACATAGCCATGTTAGCCACAGAAGCAGACGCATTGGTCTGGTGGATGGGCACAGTAGGACGATTTGCCTCTTTGTGCAGAGTGCACACGCTACGGTCGCTCTGCTCAATCCCAGATGACCCACTTCCACTTTATAAAGCAACTGGTTTGCTCACTGCCTGGCCTTCTAACGCTGGTTGGTTCTGAGAGACCAAGCTCAATGAAGTGATTTTGCTACGGGCCTGGTTCATGACCCAATGTCGAGGACCCGTTCCTTATCAGGGACCAAACAACATGCCAGTTGTGTCTCCACAAAGTACCATACTCTCTCTCGCAGCAGTGCATGCCTTAGGGATTCAGGTCTATCGCTGGATGCGGCCATTGACATATTATGTTTTCTGATAGAGCCACCCTTCAAATAACTTGAGGCTCCTGCAGGTCCAAGGTCCAAGCAGCAGCTGATTTCACGGACAGTGAACCTAGCTGCCGAGCTTGTATCCCATCATGGGCTGCACACAAACCCAGCTATGTTTTTATAGTCATCTAGCTCAGAGCTGGAATCATATTCCCCGGTGGAAATCCTTGCCTCTGGAAACGAGGAAAAGTCTATTATAATAGTTGTGCACTTTTTTTTCCTGTGAATGGTCCATTTAATACATGTTATAATAATTCCTTTAGTTTGGGATAGCCTAACTAACCGCCGTGTACTCTTGGACCTCTAAATATTGCATTGATCTGGCTAACCTTGAATCTTTACCTTCTATATCTACTTGCAGGCTAGAGATGAAAGCCAGTCTTTCCCTTAACCTCTGTCTCCCTGTGTGTCCCTTTTTACTACTACTTAGGGAACACTCACAGCATTTCTGCAGTACAGCAAACGTTTTTTTTTTTTTCTTGGACAAAAGAATTCTCCACAGACTCCATCTGGATGCCCTGTAATTTACATCGATAACAGTATGGACCTGAGATTGTATCACATGCCACACCTTAAGACTCAGTCTGCTCAAACTTCCCCGCTGCCCTGATCATCTCAAATTGTGGTAGTGGGTCCCCAGATTCACCAAAATTCGTCTTCAACTGTTGACACCAAACTGAGATTCCCCATATCCTCTTTCAGAGTTCTCCTATTCATTTGCCACAAAGTGGCTACAGAACTCAGGAAGCTTACTTTTGCTAATTGTGTTTATTAAAGGATCTGACAAAGGATACGGACACGACAGCCAAATTAAAGGTATAGGTGAGTCTTGGGAAGGATCCTAGCACATTTGCAGCACTCAGTCCCTGGAATTCGATCCATCACTTTCCCAGACGCGATGGGAGCTCACCACCTGGCAGCTTTCCACCATGCTCTAAGATTTTAGGCAGGCTCACCACTTAGCATGATACATTACGCTGTTTCCCTCTTCTTTTGGAGAGGAGAGTGGGAATGAAAAAAATTCCATGACTTTATTCAATGGCTTGGACTTTCTGAGTGACCATCTCCCACTGTCCAGGGAGCCACTGCAATGCCTCAGTAGAACAAAAGATGTTCTCACGTTCTCAGACGCTTTGGCATTGGGTTTGGGTATGCACTTAGGAACTAGGACGTTCTATCTGTCTTCTCTCTCTTTCATTTATCTATCTATCTATCTAGTCTAATCTATCTCACATTTAGTTTTTACTTGCCTTACAGTAGAATTAACATGATGCATTGATATTGGATCAATGTGATGTCCGGATATGTGTGCAGTATCTTCAGATGCTATTATGACAGGGGTAAGTGACTAATCATACCCAGGTCTAAAACTACAAATTGGATTTGATCCTTTCAGTAGTAATCAGTTCTGCCTAGGTTTTTCGATGCTTGGATGAAAAGAAGGCATTAGCTAAACTCGTGACCCATTTGCCCTGAGGATAACTAAATCTACTTTGATTACCATTATGAAGTGAGACAAAATGTTCAGTGTTCACTTATACACTGTAATTCTCAGGAATCCTAGTTTTTCCTGCAGTGACAGCAATTGGGTGCAAAAATGCATATAATAATGGGAAGCTAGCTTTTGTTCTTCAAGTGTGGCACCAATTTCCCATTCACTTTTCCCTCTGCATGTGCATTTTTTTAGTATAGTATCTCACCCCTTGCTAAGGAAGACATAAATGAGGGAAACAATGGCTTCTTCTTGACTTAGATATGACTAGTCTACCCATCAGACCAAGAACTCAATATGAGTTTGGACCTAGCATTGGTTTTGTTTATTCCATTACACTTGAAGATATTGATATGACTGTCAAATGGTCTAATGAGGGGCTGTGGTGCTTCCTCACCCTGAGACTACAAAGGGAGAAGCCCGGAGTCTCTGGGTTTTCATGATCCCATGGAGCAGAGAAGATACTGTGAACAGAAGGAAGCCTCCTGGGACGGAACCACGCAGAGATTCTGGGGTGAGAGCTATATTGTTACATTCTACCAAGCCTGCTACTCTGTCACTACTTGTCTCACCATCAAGAGCTGTGATTTCCTCTACCATAGTGACATGGACATGATAGTGACACAGCATTTGGTATATTCGTCTACAATTGAGGCGATATATAAATGTGACAAAGGATACTATGGTTAGTAAGCTCGACTCTCTTGCAGTTCTATCAGGCTGGTCCTCCTGCAGCCCCTCAATGAAACGCTCCTGCTCCTTTCCAGTCAGGTGGGTGGGAAATGTCACAAAGCACCGAGGAAGTAAGCTTCCCCTCCAGGGCAACTGCGGCAAACATTGATGTGGTTGACTGGAAATCATTACTGTGTTCCAGATGCCAAACATTCACAAAGGGGCCATTAACATCAACCCCCAGCCTGGGTGGCAGTCAGAGTTGGTCCGACTTCCAGCCAGGTCCAGGTCGATCTGCGGGTCTAGACCGTGAGCTCTGACCGCGTCAGAACTCTGGCTGATCTAACAGGAGACGAGCCTGCCCTCCATTCTTGTTCTCCCTCTCTCTCTGCCCCCCTCATGTTGTCTGTTCTCCTCTGTCCCAAAAAACTAAATAACACAACGTTGAAAAAAAAACAAACATCAACCTCTAGTCTTTCTCCCCAGTCCATTCTCAGTCTGATTCCCTTTCAAGAAATATTCTACGAAATTTTTTCCTAGTAAATGGGACTAGTAACAGTCCTCCTTCTGTAGAGCTGAGAGACCTGAACATAAAGTGCTTAGCTCTGAAGTCTGATGTGGTCAGTGCTCAATTAACAAAATGTACAATATTATTGCTCCAATAAAAGATAAGAATAACAAGCACCCATAGTTAAATCTATAATCCTAGCTTGTACAGGTCCCTTTTTCTTTATACTTATGGATTCCTTGAAACCATGTTTCCTTTGGAGTCTATCGATGAAACCGGAAATAGCCCATGGAGCTGTCACCTGGATGACTTGAATACATTCAACTGAAAATATCAGCATCCAGTGTGAGCTGGCATAAGTCAGCTTAATGGTCAGTAAGCATCACTTCTGTCGAGAGCATGGAAACCTGGGACACTAGAGGTGCCCAAGTGTGAGTGGAGTAAGAGCACAGGATTCAAAGGAGGGTTCCAAGTCTGCTCAAATCCCTAAAATGGTGCCTTCTCCACACACGACCATCCAGCCAGACAATGGTGAGAGTCCTGACTTAGCTCACAATTCACTCCTGAGAAGCCTTCTCCAAGACTCTCTTTTATCTTGAAGCACTGTGGTCCCTTAGGAGTGACAAGTTTTCCTCTCTCACTGGAGATAGGAAAACCTGAGCCCCTTAGGGAGAAGAGGGTGTCGGATGCCCGCAACACTGAGACCCAATTTGGCTTCTCCTAGACTATCTAATATTCTGTGTTCCATTTCTGGATGGTCTTCTGTCTTCACAGAGGCCCCTTGTGAAGCTGTCTGAGAACCCGTCCCTCTTCATCTAGGGAGGACTAAGTTGGGGCCCGAGGTGTTTTCTGTTTTTCCTGCTCACCCGCAAGTTCTGGGCTTCGCCTTGGCCCTGAGCCCTTAGTCTTGTCATTGTCAGGAGGACACTGACAACCCCACTCCATACCTACATCTCTTTTAGGTGATTCCTAAAGGCTGTGGACACGTGCTCGCAGGAAGAAAGGTCATGCAGTGTCTCCCCAACCCAGAAGATGTGAAAATGGCCCTGGAGGTGTATAAATTGTCTTTGGAAATTGAACTGCTGGAAATAGAGAGAGACAAGGCAAGGGATCCTGCTATGGACTCACCACCGTAATTTCTCCCAGAAGAGGGAGAAACACGTGCTGCCTTCAAGACAACACTGGTCGCTTCAGCTTACCCACTCTCCTGCCCGCTTTGTCCCATCATTCATGGTAATAAATGTCTAGAAAGGACAATTTGTTCACGTTTAGTCTTTGAGACTGTACAATTATCGATCACCTCATAGCTCATGTTTTGGCTTTTCTGGACACAAAGTGCCCATTTTTGTTTTCAAGTAAAAAAAAAAATTACACATCAAACTTAGTTCTGTTATTTGTGGTCGCCGGGACTCAGTTCTTAATGAGGTCTCTGAAGTAATCCATTGCTTAAAGTAATTCATTACTTCCCTGTAAGGGCCTTGGACACTGATGTGGGCTCACAGCAAAGCGTTTCCCGGGATCGCTCACTACACAGGTTCATGTGTACAAATCACCCAGGGCTTTAGTAGTTTTTTTTTTATTATTATTATTTTTATTTACTTAATTAAATTTCAGTCAGTTAACATTCAGTGCGATGTTGGTTTTGGGAGTAGAATTCAGTGATTCGTCACTCACATACAACACTTGTGCTCCTCCCGACAAGTGCCCTCCTTAGTTAAATATAGTTGGGGTGCCCTCCGTCACCCATGTAGCCCATCCTCCCCCCCCACTTCCTTCCACAAACTCTATGTTACTTCTGTATCGTTAAGACTCTCTTGTGGCTTGTTTCCCTCTCTTTTCAGTAGAGTAAATGTAGACACACCCCGAAGTCCTGGTCCATTCTCCCCCCCTTTGAAGGGAGTCACGTCCTTTAGCAAACCCCATGAACCTGGCCTCTGCCTCTCTAATGCTGCCCCTCAACTTCTACCTGACACGAATGGGATTTGTGTTTGTGTCCGAACCTCTTTATTCCATTTTTAGGGAAGAAACGCTGAAAGGCTGCCGAATGTGAGGCCCCCATGATGGCCACCTGTGTGTTCCCGAGTCCACCATCTGATTTGGCCCCGTTGTCCTTGATGGAAATGTAACGCGGCCCGAGCGACTGTCCCATACGTGAGGAGAAACCCCCATCAATCACCTGTGATATACAGGTGGCATCC